CTGGGAACACCTATCAGCTATACAAGAGTTTGCCGAAGATGAACGCGTGAGTAATCGCAATAAAAAAATGATGTACTTTTATTTTAATGCGCATACCTTGACTTTGAAGTAAAGAATATCCTATCTGAAAAATAACGACTACCGCGTAGACGCAGCTCGTCGTCACGAACAGATATATCTTTTGGATCTTGCTTAATTCAGTTGAACCACAAGCAAAACCATAAATAGAGCCTGGTGCAGTACTCATAACTAGAAAATGAAAACCTGCTAAAGGTCCGAAGCAAATAAAGTTATTATTGTTTCTATATCTTTATAAGTATTGTCCAGAGTAAAATTAAACTCCCGTGAATATTCGCGTTAAACATCTTGTTATACATCAACAGAAGTTTTGTCTGATTGGTTAAGCTACTCGTGATTACCAGTGATAGTTAACCAATCAAATTGCATAAACTTTAAATTCACCGTTTCAATCAGAGTCATCGGATTTTAGTAGCATCTAAAATAGCGCTATTTTTAAACAAAATAGTTAGCGAAATTGTTTGGTGCTAAGATGCGATTTTCACTATTTGTGCATTAACACGTGACTATTGCTTTTGTTCTTTCTTTTGTTTTTAATTAATAACGATATAACAATCATTGTTTGTAATAATAGTAATAGTAAAAGAATAAAATTTAAATAACTTTACTAGTGTTAAATGAACGTTTTTTAAAAATGCCACGAAATCTTTCATTTTTAGATAGATATCCTAAATACATGGATGATTTTTATGAAAGTGAAGGAAAAAATTTTTGTTCCTTCTGTAAATGTCAAGTTGATTATTAAAAAAAACATAGTTTAGATTCGCATTTAAAACTAATAAACATGAAAGGCAAAAAAGAGTTGCTGAATCAAATGAAGTTAATGAAACTTTATTGAATCAAAATTTAATTCAACTTCAAGCTCAAATAACTGATAAGCAAGAAATAAATATCGATATTATTAAAGCTTTTACTAAAGTAGATATTCTTTTAGAAAAAATCAAAATCTAAAATCATTTTTTCAAAAATATTATATAAATGATATTTATTATTTTTAAACTAAAATTTATAAATATATATTAAATATAATAATAATTTAATTTATTAGGTGGTTCAGTTGTAGGTACTAGTCAGCTTCGTGAATAATATCTTCCTCTTGTTTATAATATTGAATTAGAAAAACTACATGCTTTGCTTCAAGATAAAAAAATTTGTATAATGATAGATAAAACAACTGATAAATATAGAAAAAACATTGTTAATATATTTTTTAGTTTTGAAAAATTAACAAGACTTGTAAAAACTGAATTTCTTACTAAAATTAACTCTACTACTATATCATAAGTAGTTGTTTCTACAATTTCATTTTATTCTTTGTCATTTAATAATATTCTATTATATATTAGTGACAATGCAAGTTATATGAAAAAATCATTTTCAGATATTTTGTCATTATTAATTCCATAAATGTAACATAATACTTGTTTTGTATATATTTATAATTTAGTTAAAAATACTTGACTTGAATATAAAAATTTTCAAATTCTAGATAAGATTGTTACTGTTATTAAATCTACTTTTATTCATTCATTCTTTAGAAAAAGACAATGGTTAAACTATTTTATTCAAGATGCATTCGA